CGTGGGCCGCGGCACGCGGCTTCGCCCCTCCGGCCCCGCGCCCCTGCCCGGGGAGCCGGCCGCTTTCTGCCCGGGGCACTGGGGTCTGCCCTGCGCAGCATGGAGGGTGGCAGGGAGGGTCCGGGGGTCTGCCTTGGGCATCCTGGAGGATGGCAGGGAGAGTCGGGGTGGGGTGGGCTTTGGCCAGCCTGGAGGATGGGCAAGGAGGGTCCAGGGGTCTGCCCTGGGCAGCCTGGAGGATGGCAGGGAGAATCGGGGAGGTCTGCCCTGGGCAGCCTGGAGGATGGACAAGGAGGGTCCATGGGATCTTCCTTGGGCAGCCTGGAGGATGGCAGGGAGAGTCTGGGGGTCTGCCCTGAGGTGCAGCCTCTGAGCTGTGAAGGAGCAGAGACGCTGCAGGCCCCTTGGCGCATCTCAGCCCGGCCACCCTGTCCAGCAGGGTCAGAAGCACAGAAATGAAACTGCAGCCATGGGACAGGCGGGGTCGGGACGAGATCGCAGGATGGCTGCTGGCTCCAAATGTTGGCTCCTACTTGGAGAATAGTGGCTTTGTGGAATAACGGTTTCTCGTCCTGCTCCCACTAGCAGAGCCAGAGAAGCTGCAAAGGTTTGATCAAGGGGCTGGTTGATTTTTGTTTTTTTTTTCATCTCTCAAATCTTGCTTTTGTTGGGCTTGAAACCTGGCCTTTTGTTTTTATTTTTATTTTTTTGCACCGGTACACCATGAAAATTGGGGGGTTTTAAACTATTTTTGTCTCCTGGCGGCTTCCAAGGATAGGCTGAGCTAAATGGAAACTTTGAGGAATTTAATGGAGTTTGTGTTTCTCCAGTATGTTGAGCCACTAAGTCCTAGGCAGTAACACTTAAAATATGGAAGGAGGGAAGGAAAATAATATAGAGGCTGGAATTTCCTTGATGCTTAATAGCATTGCTATAAAACCATCGGCCATTTTATTGTGGTCCACACAGACTTCTCCTTCCCCTTCCCCCCCCACCAATACATTTGCTGCCCTTTTCCAAGCCACGGTTGGTTTAATTTTTCTTAAAGTTCAGTCTGCACTTTTCAGGATTTGAACGTTTGTTTAAAAACCTGCAGTGACTTGATTTCTTTAAAACCAGTTTAGCTTTTCACTTCCTCTTTTTAAATCCAGTTAGAGCTTTCAATAATCTCCCCATATTTCTTCCTTCAGAAAAGCATTTGTTTATTAAAACAGATGTTTTGCCCATGAAGAAATATATTTAATAAAAAGTGCTTAGCTCCATTCAACTTGAGACCCTTGGGTTATTCTCTGTTGATTCGGCGCCCCCTGCCGCCTGCCCGTGCAGCTGTCCCTGCAGTAGACACACCCCGTGTTAACAGTGTGCTTGTCCCAGCCCATACAGCGCACACATACAAATGCGGAGGACTGACTCCAAGGACTGACTGCTATCATTTAAAAGTGTTTTTCTTTCCCTTCAGATCTTTCCAAGACTACGGTCAAAATGCTCCTTTTGTTGTTGGGAATCATTGTGCTTCATGTTGCAGTACTGGTGCTGCTTTTTGTTTCAACAATTGTTAGCGTAAGTACAAACTTTATTTTCCTCTCTGCTGGCGATCTTTATTTGCATGGGGGAATGGGAACGTCATTAATATGCATGGAGACTCAGGGGCCTGGGATATAGGCAGATGAGACCAGGGCGCTTTTTTTCCTGCCAGTGTCAGCTTTCAGTAGAAGCCTTTAATTTTGGATTAAAGTTCTCTTTTTAGCAGCAAGTTACCAAATAATCTTGGCATGCTGCACATAAAATCATTCATCTTGGTGCCGGGTGGGTTGTTGCCATATACTAAAGGAGATCAACATTCGTTATAGTTTTAAGGCTTAAGATTTATATATATAGTTCAAATGCAGGGTCAGTCTCAGCAGACTTAGGGTGCTCAGGACCTCTTCAGAACGAGTTCCCAATGAATGCAGGGTCTGAAAGGAATTAGCACATATAATGTAGGCAGATATGGGTTTTTTAAATGCAGAAAATCTGCTGAGCTAATCAATTCCAGACTGGTTTTTCAAAGGACCCTCTTTTTTTTTTTCCTTAACCAAAAAAAAGTACTTACCAAATCGTCTCAAATGAGTTGGAAGTCATGCAAAATAATTCAAGTCATTAACTCAGCCATCCAAAGAGCTGAGCATTAGAGAGATGTAAAGCACTTTTTCCCTGACAGACTTGGCAAAAGTTTAGAGAATAAAGAAAATCCATTTTTATGTGGAAGAGTCCAAAGCAGCTAAAGGACAAAGTAGAGAAGTTTCTTTCTCAATTCTCTGTAAATAAAAAAAAAAAAAAAAAAGGAATGAGTATGTGGGCATGAATGTTTGTGTGTGTGTGTGTGTGTGTCCATGCACATTTATGGCCTCGGGTATTTAGTTTCTTATTTCTCTGTCTGAAGCCTAAGAAAACAAGAATTAACATGCTCTGCTTTGCCGAATCTTTCATGAGAGCAGTTAATACAGCACAAGTTTTTCCTTATCGTTTAGTCTTAAATGCTGCTCTCCCTTCTCCCCTCCCTTCGCTACCCTGCTCCGCCGCCACCTCTCACAGTGTCGTGTGTCTCTTTTTCAGCAATGGCTTGTTGGTAATGGGCACACGGCAGACCTGTGGCAGAACTGCAGCTCTCTCCACGTCCCAAGTGCCTTTCAGTGCCAAACATCATCCACAAACGGTGAGGACTCGGATATCTTCTCTGTCTTGTGTGTTTCTTCAAAAGTCAGAGCAATTTTTCTCTTTTCCTTCCTCTTTCAAACTGCCGGAAAGCAACATGTGCGACAAAACAACCTCTGGGGTTTCTCTCTGCAAGGCAGGCAGCAAGGGGGCTGGTTTTGCCATTTCACCCATCCCCAGTCACGCTGCTGTTTTGGGGCTGTCTGTGGAGCTGTCTGTTTGAGGAAAGGCGGGAGAATTATACCATAAGTTATAGATCGAGCTGGAAAAAAAAGGGGCGAGGATTTATAAAAATATAAGTCCCCTGTGACACTTGTGGTTTTCCTGCACAGCTCCTTACTTTTAACCAGACTGCACATGCTTCATCTGTTTTGCTGGACTCCTGTCTGGGTAGCATTTCATTCCACGCCAGAAAGAAGGGCTTCATTCACTGCTGTGCTGAACTTTGTGCCGTCCTACCAGGCAGTGAAAAACCCTTCTGTTTTGCCTTCCCAGCACCTTACACTTACCTTGCCCTCACTTTGCATTGAAATAAATGATTTCACGAGCAATGGAGGAGCAGAGGCATAACTAGACACTTCTGCAGCCTGGGCGGTGGTGGTACACAGGGCAGTGGCTGCTGACAGGCTGCCAGCAGTGGGGCAGTGGTGCTATCTTTACCACCCCCCTCCCCCATATCAGCACCTAGGGCCCTAGCTGCTCTCCCATCCCATCCCATCCTATCGCATCCCATCCCTGTTACACTGCTATTATCAGATTGTGTGTTCAGATGTGAATCAGGGTAGAATCAGGGTGCTGCTGTCTGCTACATCAGTGTCAGTCCACAGCAACACCATGGAGATCACTAGATTTGCAGTAGATTTAGGCAGAAGATCTGGAATTTGGCCTGCCGTTGGTAGCTGTGTCCCTGTGAATGATAGCTCAGTGGATTGCTAGCTGGAGAGAAGCGGGGCAGGGGGGCAGGTCCTGCCCATTTGCTAGTACTTGTGGTATGTTGACAGTGCGCTCAGCCGCAGTTGGGGATGACCTGATCTGACCTCTTTGCAACTTGTGCCTTGCAATTGTACTCAGGAGGTAGTACCTAGAGAAACAAGCATGGACTGCCTGTGGTGGGAGCCTCCTGTCCTGGGTGTTACTGCTAGGAAAAGTGTCTGGTAATTATTCCAGGCATGCCATCTGTTTGCTGAAGCAGGAGAAGTGTTTTGAAGAGCCAGAATCACACTTTCTCTACAGAGGATGCCCACTGTATAATTGAGATGGCAATCAGGCCCAAATCTTAGATATTGCCTACCTCTGTGCTGCTGCTAGGCAACCAGGGTGTGTATATATATATATATGTATATATACACACACACACACACACACACACACACACATACATGCACAACAGATATGTGTGTATGTATATATATATACACACATTAACATTTCCTTCTGCCTGTGGTTAGGTTACTCTAGGAAGGTCCCACAACCAAAGTTCACGGTGCTTATTAGTACTGTGGACTGGTGCCTAGCCCTCTGGAGTGGTAGAAGTTCGAGGGAAGTTGAGCACTGCAGATTTCCCCAGCTCCATCACAGTTACGCATATGCTGTTGCTACCCAAACCTGCATCCCTGAATTTTTTCGAGCTCCCATCAGGCAACATAACTTTGCATTGATTCCTAGTGAGAATTCAGTTTTCAAAAGTTGTCTCTTCCTCTTCAGCAACAAACAGCCAGAACAGCTTAGTTAAAATGCCTTCTCAAGGCCTCAACTGAAGTCTGAGGCAGAGTAACCCAGGTTATGGTACTTATCCTTAAATGGCCGGTTATCTCTGGAACTTGTACGTTGGCTAAAGGGCAGCTTGTACACTGGTTAAAGGGTACTGGATGATTTCTGTACAGGGCCAGATTTTACTTTTAGATAAGTTTGTATCTGTCAGGAGGAGCTAAGCAAGTGAGTTGTTTAAATGGCTTCAGGTAGTTATAACCAGTTTTTAATACGTGCCCTTGCTGAAACTGGTGGGAGTGCAGTCCTTAGTAAGAATCAATGGCTCAGAGTTAGGAACCAGAGTTTTCAAAGCACAACCCTCCCCTCCCCCTTGCACATGAAGTATGTACCTGGTCCCACCCTCACTTTACACCTGTGTAGATCACGAGTAAACCTAATGGAGTCATAGGAGTTCAGGCAGTGAAACAAATGTTGTCTGGGAAATCACACTGAGATCCTTAGGAGGACGAGGTCCATGGGCAGGAATACAAATCAGAGCTAGCTATGGGTGCTTCTACTTCAACCAGCCAGTGTGGCACGTGGTATGCAGGTAAGGGGATACTGATACTGGACTATGGCTGCAGAACTGCTTCAGCATGGGAGGCACAGCGTGCTGTAGCAAGAAATACTGGAGTGGGACTTGGGAAATGTGAGTTTTGCCGCTGTTCTGCTAAGTGACTTTGAGCAGTGACAGCCTCTCTGTGCCTCAGTTCTCTCTCTGCGAAATAATGCTGATGATATACTCCTGCTTTTTTAAGTGCTTTGAAATCTAGTGATGTAAAGACACATGCAAGAACTAGGTATTATTATTGATGCAAAAGTATCGGATTATTACTAGCTCTAGAAACTCATCTGGATTTGCCTCTCAGAGCAGTTATACTCAGTGTAACCCTATTGAATTCAATGGAGTCTCATCTGATCTGTATCAGTGTCATGGAGAGCAGAAACCCTCAAGCACCAAAATGGGGGAAAGGATCTTAATATTCAGCAAATAGATGAAACATAATAATGAAGCGGACTGAGTAGCAGAGTGGGGAGCATTTGCCACATGAAAAATGAGAGCTTTTGTGGGTGGGGCATGCGAGGACTGGAAGCCTTGTGTAGGTTAGCAAGCTCTTATCACACTCAGCTGTTCAGTGAAGTGAGCGTCTGATGTATTGCTAGTCAGGGTTTTCTGGAGATTAGATTAAAACGCTCAAAACCAGCCAGTCTGCTAGTAATGAAATACTCGTGGGTACCCCATACTGAGAGATAAATGGTGGAGGTGGGCCTACCTCTAATTTTAACTGTGCTAAAAGCCGTGGTACGTTTCTCATCTCAGGATAAGGCTCATATTTCTGGGGGATTGAAATGCTTTACGTAGTAGTTAGTGTGCATGTGCGTGTGCTTGCGTGCATGTGTGTGTGTATTGGCCTTAGTAGCCCTCCAGTGACACCTAGTGGCATCAAATCAGCCCAGACGTGGAAACTAGCTGGAATTTGTTCCAGCGTCACAGATTACTGTAGCTATGTCCTAAATCAGCATTTGTCTTATCCTGCTATATGCAGCGTAGGCAGGTTGGTTCAGATTCACTCATGCATGCTCAAAAACTGCTGTACTTGGGTTTAAAATAAGGTCTGTGGTAATTGTACCCTGCATATTGGGGGTCTTTTTGTAGAAGTCATGTTGTAAAATAGTCACCCTTAAAAATGTTCTGCTCCTTTGGGTAACTAAATAGTTTTACCTTAGTGTTTGCAGTATCCTCGGTGTTTCCTATTAGGCAATGCAAGGAGTATTGTAAATACAAGACTGGCAAAAATGTTAAAGGGGGAACTTGTAATCAGATCTGAATGCATTCCAGGGTGATATTGGAATAAATTGCACTCCTGAGCCAATACGAGGCTGTTAGACCGTGATCCTTTGGGATCCTATTTTTATCGCCAAAGGGACGTAGCCAAGATTAGCTAGCTAAAAAATTGCCCTGCCAGTTGAAATTTTGAATTGCAAGACACAGACATATGCAACAGTACTTTTCTTGTTTATGCTCATCTCTTCCAGTCATGAGCTGCTTTGAAAATGTATTCCCTCAAAACAACTTAAGCCAGGGAAATTCATGTAAAAACTTAACTCTCCATCCTTGTTAAATGTTTCTTTCCTTGAATTGGTTTAAATGAAAACACTAATCTTGCCATGAATTCCATGCTGGCCCTATTCCCAGGTCAAGCCCAGCGAATGGAACTTGGTTTGGGCTGATGGATCGGCTTGTATCAATCCATCTTTGCAGGATCGGTACATTAAGCATTAATTAGTATGGGATTGCTGCATGACGGTAGTAGTCCCTGACAGCTCCAGCAATGGACAATGTGTACTGTATAAACATAAATCACAAAGGCAGCCCCTATTGCAAAGAGACAGCAATCTAAATTATGGTTTTTATTCTCTGAGACTAGTCCTTTTAAAAATAGAAAACTAAAATATTCTATGATACTAGCTATCTGAGGTAGTAGGTAGCTACTACTTGGCCCCATTGCTGTTATCATAACTCAATGCATTTATTCTCATAATGCTCTAGTGTTGTTAGGGAAGTGTCTTTCTCTCCATTTTATAGATGCTAAACTGAGGCACAAAGAGGCTAACTGAGTTACCCAGGACCCCACAGGAAGTCTGTGGCAGAGCAAGGAAGTATAATTGGCTGGAACTCTAAGTGCCAGATTATATTCCCCCCCATGAATAATGGGGAAGGCTATAAGTGCCATTTCTTTTGTGGATGATGAATCATATTCTGATTTCCCCCAATAAATTTCCAGTTTTTGAACATCTGTTATTTCCAGCCTGTGCTCCATTGGCTGCACACTACTTGCTTTTTTTCAAAAAAATCCCCCCCCCCCCCCCAAAAAATTATGTTACACAAGAAACCACAAGCAACTCATTCAATTCTGTTTATACATGCACATTATGCTGCATTCTGAAAAGCCTGAGGAAAAATCATTTTGTGCTTGCCTGTGCCAGAAACACTACTCAGCATGTCATAGGGGAGTGCCAGATTCTGCCCTTGAGTAACTGAGAAATTCCCATTGAAGAATTTGGCAGAACTCTGAGCAGAGATGATTTTCCTCTGGTCCATCAGCAGTGGTTGAGTCCATATTGTGGAGTAGTAATTTGCCACATTTCCCTCTCTCTTTTTAAATCAAAGTTGCTTAAGCATAGCTGTCCTCACCATTCAGAATAACTGGAAATAATTAGAGAAGATCTCATCCTGTACCAGTGCAGTCA